TTTTTTTTAAGGCACAAGCACTCTTCTGTTCTTTATAGTCAGAACTATTAAACCGTCAAACTGAGAAACTGACAACGAGCCACAAACAGAAGCTCATTTAAAATGTCAGAAGTTTCCGAGATCTGGACCTTCATGACATGTCCATCAGTCCAACATCATGCAAGAGTTTGATAATCACACACATGCTCTGCAGGTCAGAATCAAGAACTCGTGATGGTGTGTGTTTTACTGTGAGCGTGTTTGGAGGAGACGCACGGTCTGATGCTGATGGAGAATACAAATGGTGAAGTGGCATCTTATCTTAATGAGTCTAATGAAGGGCCGGCGCACATCCGGCCTCCTGCAGGGCAGCAGCACCGTGTGTGTGTGTGTGTGTGTGTGTGTGTGTGAGTGTGAGTATGTGTGAGTGTGTTAGTGTGTGTGTGTGTGTCTGAGGCAGAAGTCTCTAAACGCATCCTTTCTAATCATCCTACTACTTGTCCGCTTGATCCTATTTGATCTCATCTCCTTCAAGCCATTTCTCCTGCAGTTGTACCTGCACTCACTCACATCATTAACACATCCCTTCACACTGGTGTTTTCCCTCAGCATTTAAACAGGCTCGTATAACCCCACTACTTAAAGGGGTCATATGATGCTATTTCAATTTTTCTCTTTGGAGTGTTACAAGCTCTTGTTGCATAAAGAAGATCTGTAAAGTTGCAAAGACTAAAGTCTCAAATCCAAAGAGATATTCTTTATAAAAGTTAAGAGTCAGCCACGCCTACCTAAAACGGCTCGTTCTAACACATGTCTACGTCACTATGTGGGAAGATTTGCATAACACCGCCCAAATGTGCACGCAAAGAAAGAAGCCGTGGTTTCAGGAACAGCAGTAGTGTTGATAAAGCTATGTCAGGGAGACGCTGTGTGATTCAGTGCGAAAGCAAAAGCACTTTATTTGGCCTTCCGGAAGTAGATGCAATTAGGAATCAGATTTTTATTGCTTATGTTGTCCTCATTTGTAAGTCGCTTTGGATAAAAGCGTCTGCTAAATGACTAAATGTAAATGTGTGTGTGTGTGTGTGTGAGAGAGAGTGTGTGTGCGTGAGTGTGTGCGTGTGTGTGTGCGTGTGTGTGTGCGAGAGTGTGTGCGAGAGTGTGTGTGTCTCTGTCTCTGACTCGTTTCAGCAGTGATCTGACGTCCTGTGGCTCTGACTGATAGTCTGAAGAGCTTCTGAGATCTTCTGATTAATCTGTTTCTCTGTTCTTCAGGTGGGAGCTGACAGCCATGACCACCAACAGTAACATCAGCCGGCCCATATTCTCCTCCCACGGCTGACGGCGCGTCAGAACCAGCGCCAGAACTCTTTCAGGACGTCCCGCTCCACAGATGATCCGGATTGAAGCTTCTCGATTGGAGAGGTCTTTCCCTGCCGGGCTTTGGCGCGGACGAGCGGCGCTTTGCTAGTCTGATTTTGCCACGGTTGAACTTGATTCCTGCTGAGGAGAAACAGACCTTCACACTCTTAAATCAGTTCAATTATTCATCGGTGTTACAGTGTTTTAATGAGGTTTTGGAGTGAAATGAAGATCATTCAGCCTGTAATCTGTCAGTTCTCTGCTTGTGTGTTCAGATCGCTCCGTCGGGTTTATATGCAGGACTCTGTTAGGGTTCCACACGTGCTCTTACATATCGAACGCAGAGATGATGTTCAGAGAAGAGGAGACGTGTCTTGAGTTCCTCTTCTTTTAACTCGACTGGTTTTCTGTTTACCCACAGTGCTTCTGACAATAAAACCTGACTCAACAATCAATAGAAACGGAGATATTCCCTCTGCATGCGTTGTCCTGTTAAATCACATTCAGCAGATCTGCTGGCTGACAGTAAATACTCTGTCTTAGATCTCAAAGAGTGGGAAGAAGGTAATGATGTTATAAGCTTTTCATAAGGTCACACCGAAAGATGTTTGACATCGGTGCGAATCAACACCGATCAGATAACCTGCCTCTGGTGTTTTCCAGCAAACGCGGCCGAATCATGTTGAATTTTATCTTTCACACACAGTCTGGATTGCCAGAGATGTATTAAAAATGATCCATTACTGCAGTTTTTTAGCATCACTTTATATTTCATCTGAATCTTTACTGATCTGCAGAATATTGATAGATACTGAGGTGAAGCTCATGTAGATGTCAGTATTCGTGCGTCTGCCGGGTGACCATGGCCTTTATTTGAGTCCTGCGTCTCGTCCAGTGCCTGATTTATTGTTCAGAGCGTCAGAAGGTCTGGAATCAAAGTGCTCAAAGTCTTCTGGGTTTTAAAGGATTCTGGTCCAGATGGATTTGAAGCGTATTATTTAAGATCGTGTCTGAATATCTGACATTGAACTGTCATAATGAATATTGTGCAAACGGACCGCATCAGAAAATTCAACCGTCCTCAATCGTTTTCCCTCATTATAAACCATGATTTGATTAAACTGACTCGAAATGAAACCAGGTGAAGCTCAAGTCTTTGTTTGGATCAAATGTGTTTTCGTACGGATCTGTAGCTCATGCAGACGGACGGTCAGGAGAAGAAAGAGGTGATGTTTAGTGATGTCTCCGTGATGCTGTCATGGTCTAACAGACACGTGCTAATATAGTCATGTTGTCTATGTAGTGAACGAGAGGAAGAGACTATCGTTTGAGTCGTGTTGAGCTGCTGGTGTGTGAAGGAACCGACACTGAGCTGCAGACGTGATTCCTGCATGCTGGATCAATCTTTTCCACGACTTACTCGACTTGTAAACGGGTTTTTAGTGGGATCTTGAACTTCCTGGACAATAAAACTGACGATAATTGTGCTTATTGTCTGCTTGAATGTACCGTGTGAAGTGTTGTGTGTGTGATATAAAAAGCACATTGAGAACTGTTTTCCTGAACACAAATTTGAGAAGACGTGATTAAATAAAAAAATATTTTTAAATGAACATTTATTTCTCCAAAATGAAAAATATTTCTTTATTAATCCACAGTTTTAGACATCCTGAGTTTGGCGTTTTTGCAGTATTATTCTGATTAAAGATGAACGTTTTCTTTGAAGCCTATAAGTACTGTATAATGCATCTTTTCATAATTGTAAGCAAAGCTAAAATGCATTATAATATTTGCACATTTCTTGTTGAAATTGGTTGCGCTTTAATGCATTATACTTTCTAAAGATGTGACGATATAAGTATTGTATTTTAACTGTGGTTGCGATTATTCATGAAATCATTTAATGCATGATAAGGTGCATTACAAAGCATAATTAATGCATTGAAATTCTTTTGTAATGCATTATATATAAAGTGTTAAAGTTTCTCCATTCCTGCATCTGATGACCAATCAAAGCACTTCATCTTAAAGGACCATAATGCTCCGGCACGAGCGTCTGTGAGTGTTATATTCACACACACACACACACAGCTTGATATTCTTAATGTGCTCTAGAGGCTCCAGCAGCATCTTCACGAATGAAGCGTGATGGATTTGGCTGATCTCTCAGTGGACGTGACCTTAATGGGCTTCTATTGAGCAAAGGTTGTGAAAGCTAAAGGTTAACTGCTGGAGGATTTGTGATGGGACGAGACCCACCTGTTGGCCGGCTCGTTTTCACAGGAACCTTAAACTTGTGCCTTCAGCCCCGTGCTAATGGCTGAAGCTCGCGTGTTCGTCGTCGCTCTCTCCGGGGGCCCAAATAGAGCATTCAACTCATGTCGTGTCAGGAGCCCGTGCTTGTTTTGACCTCGACGCCAGTCCCTGGAGTCAAACGCTCTTCAGCGCCGACATCACATGAACAAACCCGAAGTGACTGTGATGAATCACCTGGAGAAGATTTCTACTGACCTCTGACAGCTCTGCTGAGCATTCACTCACTCCCAGAGAACAGACGTATTTGTTTCTGATCCGCTGCCACGTATGGATGCATTAAACTAACAGTAAACCAGTGGAAGCAGCTGAAGATCTGAACGATCAGTACAGAAGCGTGTTCGGATCGGGCTGTGGGAGATTCAGCGGCGTCTGTGAAAGCAGAAACACATGAAGATCTTGTTCCTGCGCAGACGTCTGTGTCGCAGCAGCAGTGTGTTCATGTCTGTCAGTAGCGCTGCTATAAAGTCCTGGTTATCTACAGTGTTAAGTGCGGCGGCGCTGCAGACGGGAAACTCCACAGACCCACTTTATTCTGACGACCTTCATATAAAACATTTGCTTCTAGTCTGAGCTTTGCTTTGACCTGATCCAGCTCTGAATGCACAGCGGCTCACGCTGAACCCAAACCAGACGGCTCTCCGTCACTGAGACGCTCCTCTTCAGGCCTCTTCAGCCTCTGCAGATCACGCTGAAGGCTGGAAGACACTACATGACTTTTGTCCTGATCTGCTGACACTAGCTGCTGGAAGTCAGGGTCAGTCTGCAGATGTCGGGCGCTCAGATTTGACAGAAGATCACGCAGTATATGATGGACACCCTGATTTTTGGCTTTACTTTAGATAAACATGTTTCCTCTGTTGTTGTTCTGCCTCCTAACCCTAAAATAAAACATTTTCTGCCTGAAACATCTCTTGAGATGGATGTTCACGCGTTTATAACCTCTCGACTGGACTGGTGTGATTCTTTGTACTGTGGCATCTCTAAGTCCCAGGTTGCTTGCTTACAATTGGGACAAAATGCTGCAGCCAAATTTCTTAAGAAAGGTCAAGTTTGATCTACTCCTTGTTTGCGAGCTCTTCGTTGGCTCCGAGTTCACTTTAGGATCAATTTTAAATTTCTCCTATTTGTATTCATTTGTGTAGTGAATCAGAAGTCTGTCTGTGAGATCCTCGGTCGTTTAGTGTCTGATGCACCGATTTAATCTGAAATCATTTACTATGGCAAGTGTCTGATGTCTAGTGTTTTAACCCTCATTCTGAACCAGAGAGGATTTTCTTTTCTTCTGTTTCCCTGAAAATGCTAGTGAATATTAAAGCATTGGACTAAGGTTTACTGACTTTGCTCACACAGGACAGAACAAATTCACAAAGTTTTTTTTGTTACACTCAAAAAATGACCTGACTACAAAACATTGTTTATAAATGTCTTATGCTATTATCACCAAATCTTGGATCAATCTTTGTGTCACCTTGTTTTCTTTCAATTAGCACAGGGTTTGTATTGATTGAACATTAATGTGAGCTGATGCACCTCAGTTTCTGAGCCAAAATTATGCACAAATGTTTTTTATTTAATTTAAATAAATAAAAAATGTATCACTCAAAAACTGTTCCTAAATAAACACAAAACCTGTGCTGACTGACAGAAAACAAGTTGATAAAAAGATTAAATCCAAGATTTGGTGATAATATAGAATAATGTCAGATTTACAAACGGTTACTTTTGACCGAGAACACAGAATTAGGTGAAGGATTTCCAGCAGCACAAGGGTTCAAATCTGTTCTGATTTTCAAAGTCATGTAGTGTTTTACAGTCTTAAATCACACAAACTTCACAAAGTGTGCCTTTGCGTGAAGCTTGAAAACTGAAGAAACCTGATGAAATGTTATTGTGTCTCGACTGTAATGTGATCAAACTCCCAGTGAAATAACTAACTGTTAATACTGATCTGTGTGTGTGTTTGTGTGTGTGAGAGAGAGCGAGAGAGTGTGTGTGTGTGTGTGTGTGAGAGAGAGAGCGAGAGAGAGAGTGTGTGTGTGTGTGTGAGAGTGTGTGTGTGAGAGAGAGAGAGAGTGTGTGTGTGTGTG